TCATCAAAATTTACAGGTTCAAAACATATATGGAAATGCAAAGTACCTAGAATAGTTAAAATGATTCTAAAAAAGAATGAAGTTGGAGGACTCTAATCACATGAATTAAAGATTTATTATAAAGCTACTCAAGATTATGTGGTATTAGTAGACAAATAGATCAATGGAACAGAATGGAGAGTCTTGAAAGAAGTCCACACATATGTGTTCAATTGATTTTGTTTTACAATGCTTCCAAGGCAATTTAATGAGAAAAGAAATGTTTTTGTAACAAATGGTGCTGGAACAACTAAAAAAACATATAGAAGAAAGGTTAACCTTGATGCCTACCTCACACTACACGCAAAACTAATTTGAAGGTGGGGCTGGAGATTTAGCTCAGTGGTGCTGTGCCTGCCTCGCAAGTGCAGGTCATAGGTTTAATCCACAGTTAAAAAAAAAAATTGAAGTGTATTATACACTTACGCACAAATTCTAAAATTACAAAGTTTATGGAAGAACAAAGGAGAATGTCTTTTTGACTTTAGAATAGATAGGGATTTCTTAGCAAGGACTCCCTCAAGCTGAACGTGTACAAGCAAAAAGTGGTACGTTTTTAAAATCAAAATTAAGAACTGCTGTTCATCAAAAAACATCATTTAAGAGAATAAAAAGGACACACCACAAAGTAGGAAAAATATCTGCAATGCATACATCTGACAAAAACTTGTGTTTAGATGCAAGTTCTTTTACCCAGAACTATAAAAAGACTCTCTAAAGCTCAATGATGAAAAGACAAGCAATGCATTTTTTAAAATGGGGCAAAAACTTGAGTGGCCACTTGTGAGTGGCAAAAAAACCATGAGAATATGCTTAGCAGTTTTAGTCATTTGAAAAATACATCTTTAGGGCCGGGGATTTAGCTCAGTGGTTTCACTGCCTGCTGCGCAAGCACAAGGACCCGAGTTCGATCCCTGGTACCAAAAAAAAAAAAAGAAATACATCTTTAAACAATAATGAGATGCCATAATACTCCTTTCAGAATAGCTAAAAATGGAAAAGGCTGGCAATCCTGCTGAAGATGTGGAGAAACTGCCACTCTACTATATTGTTGGTAGGAGTGTAAAAAAAGTACAGTCTTTTTCAAAAAATGTAAGATACTTTCTTACAAAACTAAATGTAAGCCTACTTTTCAACCTGGCATTCTTAAGGATTAACAAAAGAGAAATGGATGCATATGTCCACAAAGTCTTATACTAGAATGTTTATATCAACTTTGTTTATAATAGCCTCAAACTGGAAATATTCACAGTGCTCATCCTAATAGGAGAGTCAAAAAACTGTGGAATACTTATAGATGGAAATTATTCATAGAAAGGTAAACTGTGGATATATACAACATAGATGCCTTATTTGCATGAGGGAAGGCAGATCCAAAAGAAGATACATTGTGTAATTTCATATATGCAAGTGCATGAACACGCAGAGCTGATGGACAGTGATGAAAAGAGAAATATGGTTGCCTGAGGGGATGAGGACTTACTGAAGAGGTACAGGAGAGAACCTGTTGCTGGAGTTGGGGTGAGGAAGGTTCATCTTGGCTGGCTTCGATGTATGATATAGCTAGTCAACTGACCAGAATTCATGCACTCACACTGCATTTCACTAGAGGCTAATTTTACCTTAAGAGTGACAATGATAATAATTATAGTAGTAAAGACTATGATGCCTAACATTTGAGGCAGGGTGGAAGCAGGAAGTCCTGTTGGGAAGCTATTGCAATAGACCATCTGGGGGAGATGTGAGAAGTGACCAGGCTTGGAATCTTTCTGAGGGAGGGTCAGGATGGTTAGTCCAGAAGGCAAGAGCCTTGCCTGAATCCATGAAGCCCATGTATTTGTACATTTTACTCTGATGCTTCTAAATGTTCTATAATGATTTGAAGCTCATCATAATATGTATTCAGTAGGACTGAGAAGACAAAACTAAAAATTGCAAATGGAAGATAGAAGAAGCAAAAATGCAAATTTTTGGACTAATATTTAAAAATGAAGACAAGGAATCTCTTTCTGCTCAGAACCCTTGGCTGGGTATCAAACACAGGTTGCCCATGGGATGCAAAGGGGACCATGTGGGTCTTTCAACATCAGGGGAGAGGAAGACGAGACTATGCCTACCCAAGCAGTTCTGAATTGTGTTGATTTTAGTCAAGGAAGTGTATGTCTTTTACAGACTTTCTGATTGTATAAAACCAAAAAATACACTTTTGCAGGATTTATAATGGAATATTATATCACAGAGTTTGACTATATGGAGGAGGGTGTTAAAGGGATGTATTTTAGGAAAAACTATCTTCCTGCTGTGTGATTTATAGTGTAAATATAAGTGTAAATAGCATATGCTGTAAGTTAGGATAAAATAAAAGCTTGAATAAATCACTACAAACCTACATAGTGATATGGAGATTGAGCTTGGTCTGGAGATATCGAGTGTAAATGAAGGCAACAATTGATATAAAAGGAATACTGCAAAACTATATGCAAGAAAATGTGCTGATTATTGATTGATCATGATAAATATAAACATACAGTTGCTGCTGCCAATTCAATGAGAAGAGAACTTGTCAATATTAAGCTTTATTTTATTAAAAACAGTTAACCAGTCAGAAGTAGGAGAGAAGAGAGAATTTATATGTGGAGAAGGTGTTAGAAATATATGCCAGTAATGCAGTCAATCAAATTAAGCCTAATTTTGGCTTTGGAACTTTGGTTTGACTTCTTGGAAAATGGACCAGTCCAAATGCATGCTAAAGTCAACATTAATGGATGGCAAACTTCTATTGGCATTTCGCAACTGATCAAATAGCAAAGATGGCTGTCTCGGGCAGAGCCTGGGGAAAGGAGGTAGTTGTCATAAATAATTTCTAGTGTTCTAAGATGGCTAAATTTGGGGTTGTTCTTCAGCAAATGTACTTGCAATTTATTTCAAATTGGTGAATAAAAATGACCACAGTTTTGGATGTTACTAGTGACAAAATTATGCTTCTGCATCGATGACAGTATATACATTAAAAGAAATATGAAGAAAACCATTACAGTTGGAAAGTCTGGGTGATTTATGTACTTCTGATGATTTAGGTTTGACTAAAGCAGGGTCTGGTGCTTTAAGGCAAGCAAAGGTTTGTTGTGCTGACTGCAGATAGCAAGGTGACAGGTTTGTTAGCTGCTCTCTGGGAATATGGCTGGTGGTACAAATAGGACCCAATGATAAAGGCTGGGCTGCCTAGAATCCTTAATAATGAGGGGCAATGAGGTGTGGTGATGAGACATCCAGATAAGAATCTGGAATCTGGTTTCTGATCCTGGTCCAGCCACTTACTAGATGTTTCTGGTTAGACAAGTCATTCGGCCTCCCTTAGCCTGGGCTTTTCCATCTCTTACTGTGCAACAGAGGAAATTTGTGCCTTCTGAACAAATCTGCAAATATTGGCTACAGTTGTTTTTTACTATTGGCTAGTAACTAACTCCTCAGTGTGAGCCCAAGCTGGAGTCACTCAATGGCTAATGCTCGATCCTGGAGATATTTTAGGAAATAACCAATACAAGATGCATTGGGTTGGAGCCACAATAAGAGTCCTACATTTTGACAGTCTGCTGTTTGATAAAATTAATAATGCTTGAGAAGAATATTATAAAAGCCAGTGGGAGGGGAAAATATAGAATACATTTGTGAGAAACCTTAAGCCGGTATGGAAACTGAGAGCGAGCCAAGGAAAGTTGATTATCATCCTGCTGCCAGTGAGTCATTGTACACACAGATGCACATGTACACACACACACATTTATACAGATATAAATATTACAACATATACACAGACATGCACACGTAGACACATAAATACACAAACATGCATATATGCACAGATACATGTGCACACACATCAGTTAGCATAGGTTTTGTCAGTTGGGTCTCAGAGAGGCTGATTAGTGAAGACAAATAACATTCATTCCAACAATGGACAATCACAGTTTGATCACCTTCTCAGGAAATGCTGGCTGTCTCTGAATTTTTAAAATGAAACAGTGATGGTGTCTTAGCCTTATCTTATTCATTTTTTGCTAGAGGAGAAGAGTGTTTATCTAGGTTTGGGATTTGTTGATGTTGTGAACAATGAGGGAATCATGTAATAAAAAGGGACTAGGATTTTGTGGTTTTTAAATCATTAAAGGCCAGAGACAGACTATGCCTAGAAAGGAAAGGGAAGAGTACTGCTTTTCTTGTGTTTAAAATGTCCCCAAACCTTATCAATCCTCTGTGCTCACATCAACACTATCACCTGGACATGTGAGGGAGGAGTTGGGAGAATCTCGAGGGTGCCCAACCCTCACAGGGAATGCTGAGGTCAGGGGTGGGGTGGGACAAGCCCAGTTAAGGCCAAGCACAGCCTGAGGGGCATCTGTCCCCAAGCTGGCCTCAGTGTGGATACAGCTGACTTCCTGTGGTGCAAGAAAAGTCTTTAAACCCTATGCACATATGGTCAGAGACTAAAAGTCCACATTGAGAAAAAGATGGAAACATTTATTTGCGTAGAATTGTTGCACCCAGCGACAAAGAACCAACCAGAAACCGATATTAAATCCACACAGGAGTTTATTACCGGGACCGAGCCCAGCATTGGACTCCAGTCTAGACTTGGGGAGATTAACATATTTTATACACCTTTGAGGCCAGCAGTTTCTAGGACCCCCTATGGGATAGAACTAGCAAAGCAAGCAAAAGGTACAGAAGCTGAATGCCCTGTCGTTAAAACATTTGTAAAACAATAGTTGATTAATTGTTGCTTCTAAGAGACCCTCTAAGGGGAGGAGGTTTCTAAGCTTCATCCTTCTGAGTTCATCTAAAGGGCAGGCAGGTGGGTCAAGCAGCAATATGGAGTCTGTCTTGCTAACTAGGGTCCTTCAGAATGATGGGCTATTTTTAATTCAAAAATTGTTTTTACTGTGGTTTATTATAAAAGGAACATGCATGTATTATAAAAATTATAAAGATGTGGATTTTAAAGTTTAGAAAACCTTAACATTGGGTCTGTGCTGTTTTCAGGCAGAGAACGTTGCTAGCCAAGCCCTTGTCATAGAAGAAGTGCTCTCAATGGCAGATGTGGCCACTGGTGTGAAGGTGAGAGGCACCCCGACCCTGCCCTTCAAGAATTCATGCTTGTTTTGCATGGCAGGGAGTGAAAATGCACCCGAGTTCTCAGTCCACTCCCTGGGATTTGTGTTTGTAAAATCCTGCGCCTCATAACACAGCCCTCGCCTTCCTCTTTAACAATTGTGCTTAATCCTGTTTCATTTTCCTTTGAGTTTCTTTTCATATAGCTTAATTACATTTGTATAATCAATTATTTTCACTTATCATAATTTTAGAAACACAGTGTCATAATCATTTGTGATTTACTTTCTGGACTTAGATATTATTGTTAAGATTGATCTATCTTGTTGCAAGTCACAATATTTAGTAATTAAAACCCTTTTTATTTTGAAAATTAAAAACTTTATTTTGAAACAATATTGCTTACAGAGAATTACAAAAAGAGTGCATAGAGTCATGTGAACTCTTTACCAAGTCTCCCTCAAGGATGTCATCTTGGACAGTTGTAATGCAATATAAAACCAGGAAGTTGACATTGGTACAGTATAGTTAGGTGAGGACACAGACTTAATTCAGATTTCACTCATTTTAAACATAGACTCAGATGTGTGTGTGTGTAGTTCTATGCAGTTTGACTCCATGTATAAATTCAGTGATCACCCTACAATCATTTACACTGAGTTTGAATAAATTCGGGAGGGGCAACTAGCAATTTAAAGCAGTTTTAAGAAACACGTCAACCAGTTGCAATGTGTGATCTTTATTTCAATTGTGGTACAGACAGAAAATTGCAGGGGGAAAAAAAGCCATGCATCAGCTAGGGAAATTTGAACAGTAGACACTGGGCAATATTAGAGGATTTGTAGTATATTTTTAGGAGGGGTAAAAGTTTTAGAGTTATGTTTAGAAGAAGAGTCTTTATCTCTTACAGATGTGTAAGGAATATGTCTTGATGAAATGATAAGATGTCTGGGATAAACTTTCAGATAACCTTGTGTGTAGGAAGGAAAAGTGGATGAGGCAGGAGATGAATCTAATGAACCATGAATTGGTCATTGTTGTTATTATACGTGTCTATTTTGTTTGGAAATTTTCACAATATAATCATTTTTATCCTTTTTTTTTCTTTGGTACCGGGGATCGAACTCAGGTCCTTGCAATATAATTGTTTTTAAAAAGTCTTAAAGCTGAATCTTCTAGAAGGAAAGTCAAGCAGATTTTAAGAAATGATTCTTTGAAATGGTTCTGTGTTAACGTCACTCTCTTGCTTCAAAATCCTTCCCACCCTTCTTTAGGAAACCCTCCCATCCTGGACATGGCCCATGGTCCTTGCACAATAGAACCCTGCTCCCCTCTCCAGACACATTCTGTTTTGTTCTCCTCCTCCTGTGGAACTCTTGCCACACTGGGCTTCTTTTGGTTTTTTTGGCACACCGTTGTGCCATCTTCAATTGGCCTTTTCCCTGCTTTGCCTAAGTAAACTTGCCCATCTTCAGGTCCCAGCTGAAGTGCCCTTCCCTCAGGGAAGCCCCTCTCAAGCCTACGATTTAAATCCCATCTACTCATTGTTATCTCACTTTCTACTTTGTACTTTTCTGTCATCACAGGTACACATTTGAATCTCTGTATTTATTCATGTGATTAGTTACTTTAGGTTTCTTAGAATCACTGGAGGTCAAGCTTCTTGAGGACTATTACCCCTACATTCTTAGTACATAGTAGATATCAATATATAAATACTATATGTCAAATCAAAACAGTATAAGGATTCCTTACAAGGTTAAACATAGAATCACCATATGACCCAGCAATTCCACTAAGGTGTGTATCCCACAGAATTGAAAACGAATCTGTAGCAGCAGATACTTGTATGCCAGTGTTTATTGCAGCATTATTCACAATACCTAGAAGATGGAAACAAACAAACAGATGAATGGATAAACAACATGCAGTATTATATACAACAGATGATTATTCAGCCATAAAAAGGAATGACGTTCTGATACATGCTACCCCATGAGTGAACCTTGAGGACATTATGCTAATTGAAATAATCCAGAGGCAAAGGGATAAATACTGTTTGAGTCAACTTATATGAACTATCTAGAACAGGCAAATTCAGAAGGCAGAGTAGAAGTTATCAGAGGCTGGGGAGGGAGAATGGGGAATTATTGAGGTATGAATACAGAATTTCTCTTTGGGATAATGAAGAAGTTTTTGATTGGACAGTGGTGATGGTTGCACAATATTGTGAATGTAACTCATGCCAATGAACTGTACACTAAAAATGGCTAGAATGGCAAGGTTTATTTTATTTATATACATATTTATAATAAAATACTTAATTAAAATTATAATTTTTAATTTTGGTTTCTTCCTCACACACCAGTCATTGTGGGAGATTTTTTTCTTGAGCTTGGAAATCCTAGGCAGTTGGAGAAACTTGTGCAGTGTGCCTGAGTCTGGCCTGGAGATTGTGGTTGTCCCTTTGTTGGTGGTGGAGAGTGTTCATGAGGGTGCATGGTTTGTGGGCTGGGAACAGCTCCTGTCAGCTCTGGGTGGGTCAGGTGGTCCTCTGGTCCCCCCACCAGCCCAAGAGCAGCTGCTTTTTGCAGGAGTTGGCTGTTGACTAGGGGTGGGGGTGGGGTGGGACAGCAGTGTCAACTCATGAAAGTCATCTGTTCCCTGTAGGCCTCAATCCTTTTTCTTTCTCTCTCCAGATCTGTGTTTATCCAGAGGTTCCGTGTTTCCCTGAGTGCTCTAAACAAATGTGGTTGCACTTATGCACGCGCATGTTGGCAGAGTTGTGCTGGTCTTGAGAGGACACACAGGGATAGGGTAGGAATGTCAGAGAAGTGACAGGGAAAAGGACGTTGTTTACTGGGGACTTTGAATCCCCATTTCAGGTTGGGAGCCAGCCCAAGATTTTCTATCCAAAACATGGATGCAAGCTGGAAGGATTCTGAGCCCAAAAGAAACACAACTTGTTTCCTTCCCTCCTTCCTCATGACATCACTGTTCTTTTTCCTTCTTTGAATCATCTTACTATTTGTCTTAGTCTGCTGGGATGCCCTAACAAAATACCATAGATTTACAGCTTAAACAACAGAAATTTATTTTACCACATTTCTGGAGGCTGGGAAGCCTGAGATCAGGGTGCTGGTAGGGTTGGGTCCAGGTTAGAATTCTTTACCTGGCTTTCCCAGGGCCCATGCTCTTGCTGTGTTGTCACATTGTGGAGAAAAGCGCTGGTCTCTCTCTCTCTCTTCTTCTAAGGACACTCACCCACACATGGTGATTAGACCTCACCTAACACCAATTATCTCCCACACACCCATCTCAAAATACCATCACATTGGGGGTTAGGTCTTCAAAATATGAAATTTTAAGGGAAATGGGACACAAATCAATCCATACAATATCCTTTCTAGGGCCACCATTGTCTCAAAAAACACTTCCAGTGCCTCAGGGCATCTCACTTGCTCTTTGGATGGACAAACACCTAATGCACCCATAGGCTTATCAGGAGACCCTTTTGTGGGTTTTTTGTGGAGGAGGGGCCTGGCCCATCATAGTTGGGGTCCTGGCAGGCTTCTAGCATGCCTGAGGGATCTCCATGGCCCATCATGGCAGGGGTGCAGTCAAGTCCCTTGGACTCTCATTCTGTCTCTAGGACTTCCTGGTCATGGTCCTGGTGTGCATATATGCACCTTAGTTTTCTCTTCTGTAAAGATGGTACTGCTAGTGTCCATTCATAGGCTGTGTACAGATTTAAAGTGATAATGCCTACAATGAACTCTGCCCTGCCTGGCATGTGCCAGGAGCTTTGTAAGTGGTGGGTGACCTCCTGAGACATGGCCAGGAGCCCTTCCCAACAGTCTTCAAGGTAGTGGCTCCATTAGTGGATTTAGTTGAAACCAATCTGTATTCTTGCATTAGCTGACCAGATTTGCCATCTAGTAGCATTTGGGGTTTAAAAGGCCCTTCTGAGGCTCATCCTTTGGCCCCTTTGGTCTGTCCTGACTGCAGTTCCCAGTCCCTGGTGTCTCTATTTGTGGCCTCCAGAGGCTGCTGCAGCTGGGGCTGGGTGTGCTGTGGTCCTTCCCTCGTAAGCCAGATGTTGCAGCTGTCCTTTTTCTTCTCCAGATTAGTGAGAAAGAAAAGAAGCACTGTCCCGAATGGTGGAATGTTTGAAGTTAAAATTGTGATTAGGTGATTTAATTTCCTTTCTATCGCTTTTCCAAGTTTCTCTCAGAGCAAATGGGCTTCTCAGTTTCCTGTCCCTGAGGTCTAATTAGGACAGGACACTGGGTGGAGATGATAGCAGTGGACATAGTGCCCTTTCAGAAGGATATTTTGGATGGATGCCCTTCTCCTGTCAGCCTCAGCATCCCTGACTCAGCGTCTTCTTCCTAGTTCCTCCTAGTTCTTCCTGGTTCCTCCTCCAAGCTGCCCAATTGCAATTAATGGACCTCCATTTACCTTGTGACTCAGGCTAAAGACCAGGTGTCTCCTAGAACATTCTCTTTCTTCCTTTCCCAAATCCATGTCATCAGCTCTGTCTCTAGCATCCAGTCCTGAATCCATCCACTTGTCTTCTCATTGACCACTGTAGTCTGAGTTGCCACCACCACTTACCTGTCTGACTCCTTTTTGTGGCTGGGTGGAGGCCATGGCTTTCCCAGGAGACACCTGCCGAAAGTGTATCAGGCCAAGGGTTCCTTTCACAGACCCCCTCAGATGCTCCCCCTGCACCTGGCCTCATTTGGTCAGGTTACCTGTATTCAGAGAAGGTAGATTTAGTGAGGAAAACTCTCTACATTTTACCTGATTATGTGGATTGGGGTCATGCAAATGCCAGCTCTGGTAACTGGTGTAGTTTTCTGCAAAACAACAAGCCCAAGGCTTCTACTAATACATCTAGTGAATGGAAGCTTTTAAAATGTGGATGAAACATTTTGGCTTTTTTCTCCTCCCTGCCTAAATAAGAGGAAAGGATTTAAAACCTAGAAAAGAAATATATTGTAAAAAACACATTAGCCACCAGCCAAAGAGATTTAGGGATGGAAAATTCAACTTGTTTTAGTTTGAGCAAAATATTTTTTTAAACTTGAGTTCCAAGATGGTTTAGGGAAAAATATGTATGATTGGATTGATTCCATTTGCCTGGCTGGAATCAGTACTGTAATTTGTAGTGCCCTCTGTGATTCTGTAGAGAAGCATGCTGAGTGATCAGGGCATTAAGCATCTTCCCAAGAGACTTAAGTTTCTCCCAGTGAAAAGCACTTCCTATGTCATATGTGATTCGTGAAGTTTGCCTGTCCTGATGTCAGACTGCTTTTGCTGGTCAGAGATGGTAGAGTCGGGCAAATGCCATTTCATGAAGTTAATACCAGGTTGATCATACATATATGGTGCAGGTGTCTCATTCATTTGTCAGTGATCCCAGAAAAAAAGCTCAATCTAAACTTGCCTGAGCAAAAAAGGCATTTGTTGTTACTGAAGAGTCCAGGGTGCAGCAGGCTTCAGGTACGGGTGTATGAAATCTGATTATCTCTCTCTCTCTCTCTCTCTCTCTCTCTCTCTCTCTCTCTCACCTCTTGGCTGTCTCCTTCCTCTTACCTCATCCTCCATATGTTATGTTGGTTTCATTCACAAGCTCATGACTACAGGGCTGCCTGCAGTGCTAGACCTCCTGCCCTCCAGGTTCTATTGCATAAAAAATGAGAGCTGCTCCTTCTCAGTGGTTGAACCATGTGTCCCTGTGGACACTTGGGATGGGCCCATGTGGATCACGGGTCCATGCTGGCAGGCATCCTCAATGGCCAGGGGGATGGGTGCAGCTTAGCTGGTCCTGTATCACAGACTCATCCTAAACCTGGGGTGGTGTCAGTGTCACCCACATACTACTTGGGTTGATTCTAGGGGAGGAGAGGTCCCTAGAGGAAAATTGGGGTTGTGTGGCTAGGAGGGAGAAAGCAAGCTAACTTACAAACCAGCAAATGATTCTGTCTTTGCAATCATTTGTCTTGCTTCTTTCAAATGGCCCTGCTCTATCTGCCTCTTCTTCCTCCTCCTTTTCAGAAACAATTTTCCAGGATTTATGAAAGACCAGGCAAAGTGCCTGACAGTTGATTCTTACTGAATTCTCATGGCAACTTGATGAAGTACGGAATCTCAGCCCTTCCCTCTTTCTCAGGATTTGGCCTTCAGGCTCTTCCTTCTCTGAACCTTAGCACCTTTTTCTGGCAAGTAGGTATAATGATGTTTTTCTCACAAGGCTGTTGAGAGAATCCATGAGCTTGTGTGTGTGGAGCTCAGTGAACAGGTGCACTTATTATTCATCCCATTTGTCAGATGAAGAAACTAAGATTCTGAGTCTTTTTTTTCCAAGATCTCACAACCTTGTAGTGGAACTAGAGCCTAACCAGGCTATCTCACCCCAAGCTGTTTACTTGCTCATTCTGCAGCATCCCTCTCTCATCAGCTTCCCCTATTTGCTGTATCTCATGGCGGGACTCACCTGTGTAAAACTTGATCAATGTTTCGGATCACTGCACCATTGCTTGTGCCAACTCTGTTGTGTGTCTTTTTTGTGCCAGGCACTGAGCTAGATTCTAAGGAGACAGTTAAGAAAGGTCATTTGATTCAGTGAATTGGGCAACCCTGAGAATAGAGGACTAACTATGAACTTGGGGGGAGGACTCTGCAAGAGAGAGACACTTCAAGGACATCTGCAGAGGGCAGCTGGAGCTTGCCAGGCAAGGAAGGAGAGGGGTGTGGAAACCTGTCACTTACTGGGCCTAGGTGAGTTTTGAGGAACTGAGCAGATGCTTCCTGGATGGAGTTGGACTAGTGGGTTTAGTTGCCATGATCTTGCTGACTGTTGGTAATAATGGTTCCTATCGTCCTTGTTTCCAGTGTGGAGTAACTTATTGGTTATTTGGCAGTGCAGTCAGGAATCTTGGAAGCTCTGACCATGTCACTAAGTGGCTGCAGCCACTGAAGGTATGGCATGTACTTTAAGAGATGGCTTCTTCTAAAGAGAGCTTTAAGCATGCATAGTACTGAGGTGTGCGTGTGTGTCTGTGCTTTGAAGGAAAGGAAAGCAAGACAGAATGGGAGTCACTGAAAATCTTTTTCTAAATGAGAATTTCAAGACTATCTCTTAAATTATTATACTAAGTATGCTATATTGTTAAGCTCACAACAACTATCATTAGACTCGTTTTATAATTGTCTCCAATTCAGCTCTCCCTTTCTCATCAAAATTCTTAATGGTCTGAGAGGTCTGCAGTTAGAGGCCACCTGACTAGTTAATTCCCTTCTAATATCTGGTGAACTACAGGAGCAGAACTAACTGGGATGTTTGCAATGACTGAGAGAGGCCACAGGAGCAATGTGAAAGTGATCCAGACACAAGCCGCCTTTGACCTTACTACTCAGGTGAGGAATCTGTCTTTTGTTCCACTGTTCAGGACAGCAAGTGACCTGTACAGAGCAGATTATCCTTCTTTCTGAGTTCAGCTTCACACCCAATGTGTTTGCTTCTCTGAGGAACTTGGATTCAGAACTGGTGCAGTAGAAGTATACCTTAAGCTCAACCTTCTAACACCAGCCAACATTTACATAGCACCTACACTGCACTGGGCACTGGTCCAAGCTCTTTGCATCCAAAAGCCATGTTGTTTTCACTCCTGACAGTAGCTGGTAAAGGACAGGAAGAGAGATCATTGTTGGTTTTCTCCACTATGTATGGTAGCACTCCCAGTGCCAGGGCTTCCTAATTCCCTCTGTATGGCATCCTTTCTTCTTCCCCAGCAGTGATCCATTAAACACAATATTAAGGGGTTAATTGAGCACATATGTGCTAGGCACTAAGTTAAGTACTCTACACGTGACATTGTGTCAAATGCCCTGTAGTTGTATATAAAAAGATGTGATTTTACAGATAGGGAAACTGGGGCTCAGAGAAGATAAGAAACTAACTATAGTTATGCAGTAAATGAGCATGGCTCAGGTTCAAGTGTGGCCATTCTTGTCCTTGCGGAGTGGCTCCCCTGTTAAGATGGCCTGCAGAGCTTATATCTTTTGGGGTTTTGTCCTCTCCAAGCTGTGGTATTGAGGTCACCTTTCTACCATTAGTGGGGGAGAAAAACCATCCACAATTCCTATTTATTTGTTTCTTCTTGCAATTATTTTTTTTTCCACAAAAACAATTTTCTGTGTTGGTCCCATGTTCCCCAAACAGCATAAATGATTTAGCTACCTGGTGGGCCTCAGCAGCTGCCACTTGCCGACAGGGAGTTGCAGAGTTGCAGTTATAATGATGAGAAAACTCTGGTGGGTGCTGTGTCCCCCTGGGGGTGGGGAGGGAACAAGCCCATCATAAATTCAAGGCACTGAGAACTGATGCGACAGGGAATGGATTTCTCCCTTCATCAGGTTCCTGTTCCACTTTCATTTCCCTTTTAAAATGTTCAAGCATATCTAATGAGCCCTCCCTTCCTCCAGGACAGTAAAATCTCCTACATTTTTTCGCTATTCATTCCTGTGGGTTGGTTCTTTTGTTTTTGTTTTTAGGGTTTTAAAATTTTTTGGCTAATTGTATGGATAGTTAAGAGGTAAGAGAGAGCTTTATTTTTATATTCTATGCTAACTACAAAAATCAATGAGGTTATGAGCTCTCTGGCCAAAGCTGTTTTTATTTTAGTGCTTGTAACGCTGGATTTCAACAAATAGTTATAATAGTAACCAGCACACATGGTGTGTGTTATTTAGATCCAGTTTTAACTCCAGCATCTTGGCTGATGCAAACTTTCCACATCAAGCATCTTGCCAGAAGTGACAAACCTCTTTCCCAGGGTGTATCGGATGTTCACAGGACGGGTGGCTTCCTGCTGTCTTCCCAGTCCCACCAGACCTTCTCTGCCAGGCTAGTGTCCCCCCCCCCCCCCCCAAACAAACCCCCCCCCCCCCCGGGTGTTTTTTTTTTTTTTTTTTCCCCCCCCCCCCAATAAGCATCCTCCTACCCACACAGGTTGTTTTATTATTGTTTGTTTCCACTGCTCCCAGTTTCAAGTACCTCCTCTCCTTGAAAAGTCTTAACTTGCCCGATAAGACAAGGGTGGCCTCCAGAGACATCTCTTAAAAAAGATTCTACTTATCCATTTATGTTTCTGCAAAGCACTTGCACATGTTAAAAATTTCCCTGTACAAACAGATGTCAGGGAATGTTTTCTTAGGCCTCAAGACTGTATTTCTTGGCCGAAGGGAAATGCAGTCTTTATACTTTTAATCTGAAATCTGAGATAATCTTTGTGTGATCAATAGCTTGTTGATTTAGTACAGCCACATCTTCAATATTGTCAACTCCAATTAAATGCATGGTTCAGCTTTCTGCCATTTCCCCTGGTTTCTCTGACCCAGAGCAGGTACCCTGTGCTCAGAGCTGGCAGTAGGGTCCATCCCTCCTTGGCAAGAGGTTTAAGGATAACCCATGTGGCAAGCAAGATTAAGGAGAGCCAAGAAGCGAAGGGGAGCATTTCCATTGTGATTCTTTTATTGGCTTCTAGAGAGTGGGAAAAAGAAGATGGAGTTTTGAGCAGGAACTGAAATAAAACCATGAATTTTCCCCACTTTTCCTCACAGCCAGTGTTAGTTTCAGACTGTTTGGAGCTGTAATCCGTGGCTATGTTATGGAAACAAACTACATGGGATATTCTAAGATTATTTCTTGAATAAGATAGAGGTTCATTTGCAAATGCTTCTGTTTTAAGGGCTTGGGTATAGGAACTACTCTTTGGGAACATTTAATTACTCTATTCATTGGCCAGGAAAATGGCAGAGCAGATTCTGAAACAATCATCCAAAGTCTTTAATGAGTGATGTGTTTAACAATTGAAATTGTCTGGGTTGATATTCTAAGGAATGGCGGGAATAGGTCAGGGCTCCACCATGACCCAGTTTGACTAATTGGTTGATTGTTATTTAAATGAAGGCCCAACTCACAGGTACAGGGGCATCCAGGGTTTGTGGATGGAAAGGTGGAGAACTGACATCTGCTGAGATACAGACAGAAGGAATCACACAGATGTGAATCCTGTAACAATGCATCTAGGAGCAAATCATTGGATGTTCCCTCCTTTCCTGAGAATCTTGCAGCTGGAGTGTTTGGGATGAGGGATATGTGGAGAGCTTAATATACATCACCCAGGCTTGTAGGGGTTTTGTTTTGGATTATTTAAAAGTGAAAAACCATAGTATGAAGTAGTCTAGAGAGAAAAGTTGATAATTGAAGGATGACTTTATACATTAAAGCCAGGCAGACTCAGCCAAACAGCATACACATCAACCTGACATTTTTTTTAAAAGTTCAGACATGGAGGAAGCGAATGAATGAAAATTGGCCACTTATTTTCTTGATTGGATTATGCAGTGAAAAATCACTTTAATTTCAGTCATTTTTGAAGTGGAGGTGGAAGGGAAAGAGAATACAGCAGTGTTTCCTTCACCAAGCTGAGCCAGCTATTTCTATTGTCTGAAAAATCCCAACGATGTGGGGCTAACTTTACAGTGTTCATTGCATTGACCCAAGAAGTTGAAATGAGCCATACAAAGAGAGATGTACTCTATAGCTCTGGCCTTTCTGTGTAGGAGTTTGTAATTGACACTCCATGTGAAAATGCCCAGAAGATGTACATTGGAAACGCCATGAGTGGAAATTACACAGCTATTTTTGCCCAGCTCGTCATAAATGGAAGATCACAAGGTTTGTCACCACCATGAAAAACTAGAAGAATTCTCTTTTCTGTGACTTTTTCAGTGAGTACTTTCTAATGAAAACCTGCTTTACAGGGCTGTTTTTATTTTGTAAAAAATATTTCAGTAATGACTTTATCTCCTTAATAGATACAATGATAAAATATATCATAACATTTTGGCATTATTCCCTATTACATGCAATTTGGGGATCAAAATCATTTGGTGCCATTCCAGGAAAGGAGTTAAGTTTTATTCATATCTTAGAGAGTTTAATAAAGGATCTCTATGGCTTCTTCAGGGCCCCACTGTTTCATCATTCCTGTCCAGGATGGAAATGGAAGCTTGTACCCAGGAGTGACAGCTATTGATATGATGCACAAAGAAGGCAAGTCCCAGGTGAACCCTCTCCTGTGCGCATTTGCACCTGCTCACCCCAGCCAAGGAGAATCCAACAGGACTCAAAAGAGGCAATGATAGCAGACCAGGCTGCCATTTATGAATGTGTATTGATCTCATTCTCTTCCAGCTTCTCAAACTTCCTAGGAATGAGGCAGTTCTGTTCTGAGCACTTCTTTGTCTCTCCCACTGAGCCTTTGGGCTCTCAGAGGGCAGAGTGTGGCTTTCTCTCCAGTACCCCTAACCCTTTGGTTGATGTTTGTACCCATAAGCCCTTGAGGAATACTCAGGATTGATGTGGTATGTTAGTCTGGGGAGGCTGCTGACCGCTAACTGGGAGGTTTTACAACAGCAGTTTATTGTCTCACAGTTTTGGAGGCCAGAGCTCTTAGGTCACAGTGTCCACAGGGTTGGTTTCTTCTAAGGATGGTGAGGGAAACATCTGGTCCAGGACCCTGGTCAAAGTCTCTCCTTGGCCTGCAAATGGCCATATTTATGTTAACATGTGTGCCTGTCTTCAAATTTTCTCTTCTTTTTTTTTTTTTTTTTGTACAGGGGATTGAACTCAGGACCTTGTGCTTTCGAGGCAGGTGCAGCGCCACTGAGATAAATCCCCTGCACAAAAATATTCTCTCCTTTTTTAAAAAAATTCTTTTATTGGTACATTTTAGGTATACAATACGTTTACATTTATCATTGGGTGCTTGTACCTGTACATGGTGTTTCTTGGTTCTTATTTTTTTCCCCATTACCTGTGCGCCCTTCACCCCCTCCACCCTTCCCTATTTACATAGATTTCCTTTCCATTTCCATTTTTTTTCTTTTCTCATAATTTTTCCTTTCCCTTCTTTCCTTTCCCTTTCCCCTCCCACCACCCCTACACCTTTGGACCTTTTAATATTTCAAATTATCAATTATTCATTTTAATAATTTTAATCCTTATTTACACTTTCAGTTTCTCACACTAGAGAAACTATTCGGTATTTAAACA